GATTTGACAGTGGTTTTGAATTATTTCCCATATTTTTGCATACATAAGAAGATTTACTTAAGTAATGTATTAATATGTGAGTTATATTGATATATAATTATTAATTATTAATTAATGTTATGGTAAAAAGTAACACCTGAAAATGTTGAGTCATCTTGGATATTGCAATGATCTAAGTTACTTCACGATTTTTTTTTCTCTTTTTTTCCGGAACTCTGTCTCACCAAAGCACTGACTTCACATGTTCATTTGTCACACTTTACAAATTAAATTGTCCAAGAAGTGGCACCAAAACATGTTCAGCTTTGTGTATGACATGAAATTGATTTCATCCGTTCATTTTCCAATTTTTACGACAACTAGAAATGTTAATGATTTGAATGTAAACTTTTAAAGTGTATTTCTTTTTACATAGCCTATCACAAACCAATCTGTCTGGTGTAATATACATTTTGCTTATGTATATCTTTCCCATCCCCCCAATCCTTGCCTGTAATTCTCCAACTCCTTCCCCCTCTCCATTTTCTAAGGTGTGACAGTTGTGCTGATAGGATGAAAGGCTGACTTTGTGCAAATCAGTGAGCCATGGGCACCCCTCAGAGCCTCCTCATTGGGGCCCTGAGGGGTGGACCTTATATCTTCCTCATATATTTCAGGCTATTCATGACCATTAATGAAGATTTTGTACCCTTATTTGGGGAACTGAGGCTTGCCCCTGTAGCAATTAATCCTCCTGAATCTAACACCTCTGGTTTACCGACCCCTGATTCCCCTTTAATCATGACTATAACTGCTACTATACACCCCTCCTCAACAGTTTCTCTCAACCTGAACCATCCCTAATCATCTACCCAGGTTTTAACTCTTCAAAAGATGCCTCTCCCTAACTCCCAATATCCTCAACCCCATCTCCTGCACAGTTGTCTCTATTTCCTAAACTTTCCCTTATTATCTCTTCAACCTTATAAAGGACATCTGAAACTTCATAAGCATGACCCAAGATAATGCTCCCCTTTCTCATCTATCCTCCAATTCCTCTACCCCATCCCTTCTACATTCAAAGTGCCTGCTGACATCCATCTTCCTCCTCATATTCCCCTGTCCTTCTTCTCTCCACTCCACCCCATCCTCTCCTGCGTCCTACCCCGTTATCTCTCCCACTCCTTCCTGGATACTCACATGAATTTCTTTTGTTACAATAGTGTCCCTGGACCCTGCGGCACCTGATGAACTTCCTAATACTACACCTCCTTCCCCTGATCGTGTACCTCGTTCTCCGGGTTATCCTCCTCCTACTTCGACAACACCCATTTCTACCCTTATTACCCATTGATTACTTCATAATGGCTCTTCTGCAGTGGAAAATTTGAGGTGTCCTTTCTCACAGACCTGACCTTCGTCACCTCCTATTTTCCTATAACCCAACTATTGTCTTCCTCCAAGAAATCTATCTCCAGTACCATTCGCAGTTACCATTTTGTATCATCCTCTCACTTTCCACTTGTCTCCTCCATATTTGTCCATCATAAAACACTATTTTATACCTCCCTTACAAACCACTGTCCTTTGCACAGTTATTAACATCGTTCTCCGCTGTTGGATCACAAATGTCTTAAATTTACTCCTCCCTTCCCTTGCCTTCTTATAGACTTTCTTTTAGCCTTTGAAACTTTCCTTTCTCCACTCCAACCATCTTTCCTCATAGATGGTTATAATTTACTCCTCCCTTCCCTTGCCTTCTTATAGACTTTCTTTTAGCCTTTGAAACTTTCCTTTCTCCACTCCAACCATCTTTCCTCATAGATGGAGATTTTAACTGTTGTCACACTCTTTGTGGTGATTTGCTCCTTGGAACACTCTAATACTGACCTTGTCCTCCTAAATTCAAACCATCCCATCCTCTCTGGCATGCATACAATGCTTTCCATGCCTTGATCTTTCTCTTTACTCTCCTTCCTTTTGTCTGTCTGGATTCCCAGACTACATTTATTATAATGATCACTTTCCTGTTCTCCTTTCTCCTACTTCCTATGCCCCACTCTCCCAACCTCCTTCACTGGTGCTTTGACAGAGCTGATAGTCATACTTTTACATCTTTCTCTTCTCTTGACCTACCTCCATTATCCTTCTCATCTTTTTTAGCCATGCTTCTTTATTTCACAATCAGTGTCCTAAATGCACCCTATACAGCCCAAACCTAATACTTCCTAATGTGTTCCATGGTGGAACTCAAACTGCACCAACATGCTTCAGTTGAAATATACACCTTGGAACAGCTATCCTTGCAAGAGAGACACCACCAGTTAATTAACAGCCCTCATATCATTTAAAAGGGATCCATAAACTCTCAGTAAACATTCCCCATTCTTCCCCCATCCTCCACTTCCAAAATCCCTCCATCTCTGACCCTCTTCAAGTAGCTACTGAACTTGATACCTATTTTAGCCAGCTCAATAGTGGCTTTCCCCTTTCTCCACACTTCTCTTCCATAAAGACAGCCAAAGAGCACACTCCCATCTCCCACCACTGGCTAGTCTAGTGTGATAATGGGAGTATCTCTGCATAAACTTCCACTGCCAGTTCATAGCCTCTATGTCATTGAGACTTCTGCAGTGTCTCCTTGTAGCCACCCATGAAAATTGGGCACCTTGCGGTCCCAGGCTAAACTGTGAGGCGGGCTGTAGATCCCATTGGGAAGGCAAGTATTGGGGCTCAGGATGGGAACGAGAGTTACTCATCCTGCCTGCACCCTGGTAGGTGCCAACCCAGTATGGGGTAAAGCCCAATGAACCCCACAGGTGGACCCTTCCTTATATGGGATAGCATCAGCAGGATGGCTGAGGTGACGTCCACCCAAAGTGACTAACCCGAGGCTTATCAAGTGAGCTATCCGGGTAAGCACTTGGAACATCTGGTCCCTGTGGCAGGATGAGCAGTAACCCCAGCTATCAAGGGTATTGAAGCGGTTGGGAGTTGAGGTGGCTGCCCTCTCAGAAGTGAGAAGACCTGGTATTGGCATGGTCAGTATGAGTGGGTACACCTACTGCTGGTCAGGCCTTGGGAATTATCATCTCCAGGGCCATCTCCAGCCGACTTCAACCCTTATTAGTAGAGGTAACACTGTTTGATGAGCATATTAAGGCACTGAGACTGAAGCATGCTTTTGGCTTTCTGTCTTATTCCTGTGTATGCTCCTACTGATGTACGCAAACTCAATGAGAAAGGCATTAAACAGCAAACTCACATCTGTAGCAGACAAATGTCCTAGACAAGACATTCGAATTGTTCTGGGGGACTTCAATGTGGTATCTGGCTGTGATTGAGCTGGCTATAAGATGTCTGTTTGTCCCTATAGCTTGGAAGCTGATTCCAGCAAGGAGAACAGCCAGGACCCAGAGAATGAGGATTTCTGGCTCCTGGTATTAGTACTCCAACCCGCATTGCTGGACATGGTATAGCAATACTGGTACTGTGGCCAAGAAGACTGACCACATTCTTGTTAGCAGTTACTGGAGAATCCTCCAGATTTGCAGGGTTTACCAGAGTGCCAAGTTCTATGGTACTGACCATAGGATGGTTGTGGCTACCCTATAGGTCCACTTCAAAACTCTTCAACCCTCCAGTGACCACTCCAGGGTGTTTCACTTGGGTAGACTGAGGGAGGGGGAGTGAGGCTGGAGGTTTGCCATGGGAGTCTCCGATCGGACCACAGAACTTAATAACCTGATGGATCCAGTAATCCAGTGGGAGACCAAGCACAAAACACTCGATAGTAGCACAGGAGTCCATTGGCAAGACACTGGAGTCATTAGAAGCCACAGAGATGTGTTGTATGGCTTGGCTGAATGTCAGTCAGGATGTGCACCATTCCTTGGACACTGTTGAGAAGGGACAAGGAACAGTTCATCAAGAACCCTGCTGACGAGTTAAAGGCCGTTTTTTGGTTAATGACCTTCGTCCTGCCTACAAAGCTCTGAGAAAACTGAACTCTAAGCCCTTACAGATTACTGCAGTTTGAGATTCATAGGGCCACCTGCTGCTGATCTGACCCTCAGCTGCAGAGAGAGGTCAGCTTGGAGGCCTGGCTGCCGCCGCAGGCGGCCACGCCCACGTGAAGGTCGGGCACTGGCAGTTTCTTTAGCCACGCCGCTGTGGCTCCGCCCCTGCTTCCGGTGGTCGCCGCTACTTATTCTCCAAGGATGACCCTGTCAGACCAGAGTGTGCCTGCTGCTGGCTGACCCAAGGTCGGCTCCTGCCCGGCTCAGGTCAGGGCTGACCGTCCCCTCCCTGCTGACTGCGCGATAACCCAAGTCTTGTCATCATCATTGTGTTATCAACTCCGTGTGCTGAACTCTTATCAATAAAGAGTTTTAAGCCACCAAGCTTTTACTACTCCCTGTCACCAATGTTTAGAGGTCTTTCCTTATATTAACTCTTAAATTCTGGTGACAGCGGTGGTTGTTGCATGCCGGACGCTATCCACTCCTTCCCACAGTCTTACAAGTGGTGATAGCGGTGGTAGTTGTGTCCTTTTGGCACACAACTGAATAAGCTTCTCCGAAGAAAACCGCTCGGCTTCGACGAACGCAAGATGACATTTCTTCAAGAAACCCGTGAGTACACATCTTGGGCCCTTTCTCTTTTCATTTCTTTTCTATTTTTTCCTAAATGTGTTAGGCCGTGCACAGCCACCTCATGTTAGTTTTTTTGGGGGGTTAAAGTGCTAATTTCAGCAATGGCTCGCTCTCATTCTCATCTCATTTTCTTGACCTCACACCTCATTACTGTGTGATAAAGTATGAAGCCAAACATTATGAAATCGTTCATTTATTAAGTGTCTATTTAATTTTTTCGTGATTAAATTATATTGTTTCAATTGTATCGAATTTAGCGCGTTCGTGAATTTATTCTTTTACTAATATTCACTCATTAAATTCATCTCTCTCCATTTTCTGTCTTGACCTGACCTCAGCTGAAAGTCATTAATCAGAGCCCACTCG